GGCCTTGGGCTCCACACTCAGCACAGAGTCTGCTTGAGATTCTCTCTCCCTCTGCTCCTCCCTCCCGCCCCATGCTCGTGGGCACGTGCGCTCTCTCTCTCTCTCTCACTCTCTCTAAAATGAATAAATAAATCTTTTTTTTTTTTAAAAGATTTTATCCATTTATTTGAGAGAGAGAGAATGAGAGAGAGCACATGAGAGGGGGGAGGGTCAGAGGGAGAAGCAGATCCCCCGCTGAGCAGGGAGCCCGATGCGGGACTCGATCCAGGGACTCCAGGATCATGACCTGAGCCGAAGGCAGTCGCCCAACCAACTGAGCCACCCAGGTGCCCCATGAATAAATAAATCTTAAAAAGGAAAAAACACGAAGTGCTGACACATGCTACAACATGGATGAACCTTGAAAACATTGTGCTAGGTGAAAACAGCTGATTGCAGAGGACCACATATTAATGTGATTTGATTTATATTCAATGTCCAGAATAGGCAAATCCATAGAAATAGAGTGTAGATTAGTGGTTGCCAGGGGCTGGAGGAATGGGGAAATAGGGGGGAACTACTGATAATAGGTATAGGGTTTCTTTTTGGGGTGATGAAATGTTCTGAAGTTATATAATGGTAATGGCCGTACAGCTTTGCCAATATACTAAAACCCGCTGAACTGTATACTTTATTATTTTTTTTTAAAAGATTTTTTTTTTTTTTTATTTGAGAGAGAGAGAATGAGAGACAGAGAGCATGAGAGGGAGGAGGGTCAGAGGGAGAAGCAGACTCCCTGCCAAGCAGGGAGCCCGATGCGGGACTCGATCCCAGGACTCCAGGATCATGACCTGAGCTGAAAGTAGCCGCTTAACCACCTGAGCCACCCAGGCGCCCCTGAACTGTATACTTTAAATGGTGACTACTGTGGTATGCGAATTATGTAGCAATTTTAAAAAGAGCATGGGGCTGGGGGCAGTGCGAGGGCTACGTGGTATTTCATACAGTGAAATATACTCCAGTTTATTCAGCCATTCCCCAGTTGTTGCACATTTGGGTTGCGTTTCAGGGTTTTTTTTTTTTTTTTTTCCTATTTGAAACAATGCTGCAATGCACATCCTTGAGCATGTAAAAAAAAAAAGAGAGAGAGAGAGATTATTCAGGCAGATCTTGGGCTGTCCCAGGCTGCCTCATACCTGGGCATATGCCAATGTGAGTCTGATTTAGAAAGTGTCAGTTCCTCTGACACCAAGACGTGGTGTATGGATGAAGCTTCCACCCTCTGCTCCAAGCACTTTCTCAGAGTTAGAAGAAAAGACTTTGAAATGACTGTCGTTTTGCTTTCTTCTATCACTGAAGACCTATTATAAATTATATTGGCCCCATATTACCCTGAGGAAACAACCCAAAGTGAGGGGAGTTATGGTTTAGATCAGGGGTTGGCAGACTACACCCCACGGCCTGTTTTTGTACCATCTAAGAATGGTTTTTACAGATGCTCATTTGTGACCGATTTGATGATACTGGAGACACTAGCTTTGAGTCAAATGAAGAAAATCTTATTCCCTGTTGCCCCCCCATTCCGTTCTTCTCATTAACAGACGTGTACTACAAAAAGCTTATACCCAATTGCTATAGTTGTATTTTGAATTTCATCAATAAAAAATTTGTGGAAATTCATTTTCTCTCATTTTATAACCACCCATATAATATCCTTGATTTTGCCTCTTGGCCCACAGAGCCTAAGACATTCACTATCAGGCCCTTTGTGGAAAGTTTGCCAATCTCAGTTCTATACTCCAGAGAGATATCGGAAATAAATATGGTAAAGAAAAGCACTGTATAAAGATGGAATAGCCCCCAAGCTACAATTACCTCTCAAAAATAACACAGCCTGGAAATGACAGAAATTTCAATCAAATTATCCAGGTCACAAAACGTTCTGCTGATTTAGTTTAGAGAAGTTAAGGGGAAAGAAAAAAACCCCTGTTTGTATCTTCTATACTAGGAAAGGAAAGTGAATAGGAAATAGGAAAATGAAACGACTAGGAAATTATTCATGTATTTTTTGAATTGATGATAAAAATAATTGTATGAAAATAAAGACATGGATACATATTGACTATGTAAAATATACTTATGTATTCCAGCCCTGAATAAGCACTTTATATAAAAGATCTCATTTAATCCTCGCAAGAACCCTCCAAGGTTGAAGTCAAGGTCATCCCCTGATACCAACTCCCATCTGCTAGCTGCAAAAAGTGGTACTTTGTCCAGAAAAAAAGAAGCAGCTGGAGACTAGCTGGCAAAGGGCTCTGAATGCTGTGCTGGGAAATAGCCTATATTCTGTTTTTTGTTTGTTTGTTTGTTTGTTTGTTTGTTTTTACCAGACCTGGAGGCCCCCAAGAATTTCCAGAAGCGGAGGAAGTGGTCAATTTTGTGTTTTGGGATGATAACAAGGATGGCTTTGGGAGATAACTCTTGAGGCCAAGAGGCCAGAGAGAGGGCGCCTGGGTGGCTCAGATGGTTAAGCATCTGCCTTTGGCTCAGGTCATGATTTCAGGGTCCTGGGATCGAGTCCCGCATCGGGCTTCCTGCTCCTTGGGAGCCTGCTTCTCCCTCTGCCTCTCTCTCTCTCTCTCTGTCTCTCATGAATAAATAAATAAAATCTTTAAAAAAAAAAAAGAGGCCAGAGAGAAACTTTTTCAACAGTCCAAGGAAGAGCCAGTGAGGGTTTGGGATGATACATGCAGAGAAGAGAATTCCAGATACACTTCCTTGTTCCAGTTGGCCATACATAGGTTGACAGAATGGACATGGGGGCTGAGAACAGACAGCCAAAGTCAACTTCAAAGTTTCTGGTGGCAAAATGGGAGAGCCCAGATAAGAAGCAAGTTTGTAGTAGGAGAAGAAGGAGTAGGGAGATGCCATATTTAAAATTCCTGGGTAGTATCTAGGGAGGTTATCTAGGGCAATCGGAAATGTGTGTCCAGAAGTTCAGAAAGACATCTGGTTGAGAGAGAGAGAGAGAGAGAGAGACTGGGAACCATGAGGAAATGTTGCCTTTCAGAGGGGATTCGAGAAGTAAAGAGCAAGGGAAAAGATGGGAGAGAAAGGAAATGTTAGTAAAAACTAATCTTTTTAGGGGTGAGCATGGGGCAACTCTTACATCACTGAGAAGGAAGTAGGGGGGTGTAGGACATGTAAGACCCAGTGGTATTATCCCTAAAAAAGAGTTTCAAGAAGGAGGGAGAAGTGAATGGAAGGTTACAGAGCCGTCTCCATAGAAAATAAGTGTTCTAAACAGGCAATTGGATTTGGCTATTAGAAGGTCACTGGTGACGTCTGAGAAAGCAGGGAGTGACACCATCAGCCTGAGGAGTGATGAGAAGGAGGGGGAAGGAAGAGAGGCTGGGATAGTGGAAGTTTTTTTTAGGATAGAGAAAATCTGTGAGGGAGAAAGAGACCCTGAAGATGCACTGAAGACTCCCTCCTTTTTCTATCCCAGATCTCGCATTCCTGGCTGAGCAGGACCCATAGTCCTCCTCACCCCCCAAAATAAAGGTTGGCTAGAAAACACTCTCACTGCTGAGGATGTTACATGGAGAGGGGACGTGAATTTTTCTCTAGGTGTTGGTCACAGGCTTTTCATCTCTTACTTCCTCCATCTTCAATGAGGATCAGAACACCTGACCTTCCAATGTAGAAAAAATGTTTTTTTAATTCAAGTATAGTTGACATACAATAAAATGTGTACTGAATTTTACAAGCCAACTCTTGTATTTTAAACATACAAGTTATTAGAGAGGTAAACATGATGACGCATAACTCTTACAAACAGCCTACACTTTGTATTTGATGAAATTCCCAGTTGCTAGTCATACTCCCTCCCCCCCCCCATTGATACCTGTAACATGGAGTTCCCCAAAGTGTGTAAAACAGGCAGAAAATTCCGATGATGAAATCTGCTCCTCCCCATGTCAGGTCAAACACAGTCCACAATTCTTCAGCTCTCTCTCGAGGTGCTTGGGGGAACTAGTCAGTTATTATTCGGTGGAAACAGCAACCACCACAGTGGTTTCAAGATGGAAGGTGCTAGGAGAGTGCTAATTATTAGTGTTTTTTGGTTTGTTTCTGGCCGTGTATTCAGATAGTCTTCAGCAGTGGCTCGCGAAGTGTGAACATCAGACGGCAGCTGCAGCATCACCTGGGAAGCTGTCAGAAATGCAAGTTCCTCTCACTCCAGACCTCCGGCCTCGGCAGCCCGGGTGTGTGTGTGGGGGGGGGGGGGGGGCAACCACGTGCGTCTCACTCAAGCGCTCAAGGTGGGGCTGCGATGAGCTAAATTTTACCTGCAGCCCCTTCCGCTCAGCGGCCCTCATCCAGCGGCATCACCACGGGAGCTTTTCAGAAATGCAGTATCTCGGGCTGCACCCCAGACCCGCTGAATCACAACCCGCAGTTAAACACGATCCCCAGGGCAGTGGAGTCTGAGGAACCTCGGGCTGTATTACCGTGTCTGCATGATGTAATGAGGACCTCTCCTCCAGTAAGTTAAAAAACCTGACGGCCCAACCCGAGAAACGGTGAAATTGCCTTAAAACCTCCAGCCCCCTGAGCCCAATGCATCGCGCCAACTGCACGATTATCTTCCCGCAGCGATGACAGGGCTCAGTGTCAGGCAGGGTAAAAGGGGGGAGCCAGGAGGGGGAGGCTCCGGGCGGGAGCTCTGCATTCCAGGTGGGCCCCAGGAGCAGGTGTGGCGGGAAGGCGCGAGAAGGGGGGCGATTTCCACGCAGGGAGGGGAGCTCAAAGGGACATGGGGTGGGGGTGCGCGCGGGGAACGCCGCGGGGAGCGGCTGGGGTGGGGGCCGGCTGCCCAGCCCGGGACCCCGCGTGAGGGGGGCAGCCCCTCCCCCGGGGGAGGCCGGCGGGCGGGGGGTCGGGGGCGGAGAGGGAGGTGGGTCCCGGGCGGCGCGGGGGCGGGCGGCTCCGCGGCTCCCCGCCCCCGGCCCGCCCCTCCGCGGCGCCATTTTGCAGGCGGCTGTCGCGGGGACCGGAGGCGGAGGCGGCGGCGGCGGCGGCGGCGGCTGGCACTGCGGCGCCGAGGCGCGGCGGCAGGACGGGAGCCCAGCGAGCTGCAGCCAGGTGAGAGCCGGGCCGCCGCGTCCCCCGCCCTGCCCGCGAGCCGCACCTGCCGGGCCGGGCCGCGAGGTGCCCGCCGCGCCCACGAGGCCGGCCTGGCACGGCCCCCGCGCGCTGTCACCGGCCCCGCGGCGCGGCCTGCGCCCCCCCAGCCCCGGCCGGTCCCCCGGGTCCCCGCACCCGCGGGCCCGGGTGGCCGCGGGACCCGTGGATGCCCGGCGAACCCCCAGCCTCCGCCGCCCCACCGGGCCCGCTCGGGCCCCTGGGCGCTCACCCGGCCCTCCCCGGGAGCCGCAGCGCGCTCGGGCCCTCAGGCCGCGCCGCGGGGAGGCAAGTGGGTCCCCCGGGACCCGGCTGGCCGCGGCCGCCGCCTCCTCCCGGGCCCTCGGCCCGCGCGTCCTGGGGTCGCTCTCCCCTCGTCCCTCCCCGGGAGGTGCGCGCTGGCATTCCCGCGCCCCCGGAATTCGGGGCCATCAAGAGGGCGGCGGGGGGTGCCTTGTACATTTTTTGCTTTCTTCTCTCCTACAAAGGCTGCGCCAAGTAATTTTAGAAGCCGCTCCTCGGACCCCAGGGCCTTTCTCTTCGGCCTGTTCCCCCGGGGGTCGCGAATTCCCCTTGTTGCTACCTTGCTGGAAGGAGAAATTGACATTTTCGAGTGTGACTACTTTAAGGGCTCAGAATTTTCACCCTCCTTTGACTCTGGATATACCCTTGAGTGGGTAGCTGACAGGAACTCGGCCTACAGGCTGGGGGTTTTAAGCATGACTGATGAGAAATTCTTGATTGTCAGAGCAAAGGGTAAATGAGGGTAACTGCAGGTGGAAGGAAGTCACTCATAATTGATTTCTGGGTCTGGGGCGTCAGCGGGGGCTGTTACTTTTATTCTTGCAATGCTGGAAGATGGGAGGGGGACGATGCTGTCCCTGCTGACGTTTGGGTGTGCTGAGAAGGCCGGTGATGTGCGAGGACATGGGACCGGGAGTCCCGAGGCAGTCTGGTTTGAGCTGTCATTAATTGGCCATGTGACTTCTCGCGGCCAGTTTCTTCCTCTCTAAAGCCAGAGACAAGAATCCGGGGTAGCTGAAGGTTTTTTATTTTTATGATTTTGCATTTGAATGCTGTTGGGCTGGGGCGTCACCATTTCCAGTTGTCTACACCTGCCTTTTTACCTTTGCACATGACTTTCCCTGGATAGCCCCGAAGGTGTTGGAATCTGGTGAGATTTATAAAGGGCCTTTCAGCTCAGAGATTCGGAATTCTGTCCTGCGTTATGGTGGACTCTATCAGGATCACTTGTGAACCTGTCACTAGTGGTCTCTTTTCACTTATCCAGAATTTAATAGCGTTTGGGCACCAGCCTTTTAAATGGCCAGCGGTGGGTGTGCAGTGTAAGCCCTTATGGCACACCTGTTAGTTGAAAGAGGTGAGCAGGTGTGTCCAGCCAAGCTACCTGTTTCACCTGACAGCCTGAGCAGGAGCTATCTGCTTTCTAGACCATTTCCTTTGTCAAAATGGCGACCGATTCTTTCTTTGAATTCCAGGGCATTTCTCTTGGTTTTTTTTTTTTGCTCTGAGTGGGGAGTGATTTTTTTTTTTTTTTTTTAAGGAAAGAGGTATTTCAGGAACTTTACATATTGACTTTTTTTCTTTTTTCACATGGTTGCATGGCAGTTGTATTTTCTGACTGTGGCAAAGTTAATGAAGCTGAGTTCAAATGTCTGTTAGGATGTTTCAAAAATGCTTATGAAAGTACTTGGCTAGAATATCTGTAGAGGGTTTTGCTAGGTTTCATGCCAGCTACCTTGTCTGTCTCGTTTGCGTAGCAAAGGCTAGAGGTCTTAGTAGTGCAGGAGTTAGGTGTGGCAGGAGCGAGCTCACATAGCCTTCCGGTAGTCCATCTGCTAATTTGGTGCCAGGTGCTGTTGAACAAATCATTGTTGAGTACTCAACATTCAGTCTTTTGCCCTCAAGGAGCCTAAGGTCTGGGATATTAGAAGTCCTAAATTGGCTATTGCCATCCTGTTCAGTGTCTCTAAAGACAAAGCTGGGATCCTTTTGGGGACTCCTTTCTGGCACCACTGGTATCTTGAGGAATTTTCCCATTTTGCTTAAGGGAATTAAAAGTCAACCGTCATAATTTGCAATTACATAGTGCTTTGTACTCGTAAATGAAAGCTTTTTAAAAACTTATTTTTGGGGCACCTGGGTGGCTCAGTCGTTAAGCGTCTGCCTTCGGCTCAGGTCATGATCCCAGGGCCCTGGGATCGAGCCCCGCATCGGGCTCCCTGCTCGGCGGGAAGCCTGCTTCTCTCTCTCCCACTCCCCCTGCTTGTGTTCCCTCTCTCGCTGTATCTCTCTCTGTCAAATAAATAAAAATCTTAAAAAAAAAACCCCAAAACAAAAAAACCTTATTTTTATTTAATCCTCTTAGGCTTCTTTTCTAATTTAAACATTTTACAGTCCTTCCCAGGCCTTGCCTATAAAACTCCCAACACACTGGTCCGTTCCCAATGCCAGCTAACCTCATTAATTCATTTTTACTCCCTGCTGTTCTTCCAGTTATTCTCTTCTCAGAGGACCGCCTGTCTGGGCTTTTATTCTTTTGCTAGGGAACATTCCTGCTCCAGGTTAAGCTGTGCATTACTGAGCTGTGCATTACTGATACCATAAGGCATACTGTGTGTGCCTTATGGCACTGTCTTCCTTTTCTCCCCAGCTTTGCTATTTCTAGCCTGTTATTTTGTCGTAGGTTCTAGATCGTTGACACTTGAATAATTGAGGTTTGCTTGCAGCTTATACTTTTCATAGGATTTTCACATATTTAGTACATTTATTGAGAACCTGCTGTGTGCCAGGCAGTGTTTTTGGTGCTCTGGTTGCTGCATGGAGATTCTCTGCCCACATGGAGCTCACACTCTGATGAGGAGGCAAAGAGATTTCATGCCCTGAAGAAGAATCTGGCAGGATTGAGGGTATTAAATGTTGGCGTGGGAGCTGAAATTTTAGGAAGGATAGACAGGGAAGGCCAGAGTCACCTTTGAGTGAAGATGTGAAGGAAGTGAGTCATGGGGATATCTGAGGGCATAATGTTCCCAGTGGAGGCAGCAGCAGATGCAGAGGCCCTGAGGCAGGAGGAGAGCATTTGGTTTTTGGGGTCAAAGAGACAGTGGGAGTTGAATCATGTAAGGCCATGTGACAGTAAGGTCTATGGATTTTACTTTGAGGAGAATGGGAGCCGATGGAGGGTTTTGAGTAGAGGGGACAGGGACTGACCTAGCTTTTAACAGGGACATGCTGGTTATTGCTGTTTGAGAATCAACTAGAAGCAGGGAGGGCAGGGCAGCAGGGTGACCTCCTGGGTGAGGGCTGAGGGTGGTGGTCAGACCAGGGTGATGGCGGGGTAGTCGTGGAGGTGGTGAGAAGTGATGGGATTCTGAGGTGGGGCTGAGGAGATCTCTGATAGACCAGATAATCGAGGTGGGGGTGGTATGTACAAAAGAGAGTTGAGGGCAATGTCCAAGTTTCTGGCCTGAGCACTTAGAATGAAAGGAACCCAAGATGTCTGAGATGGCTGAGGAGCAGGTTTAGGGCATGTTGTCATGCCAACCTGACAAACCCAAATGTAGTCATAAAGGGAGGGGGAGTGGGTGTTTGGGGGAGCTCCTCCTCTGCGGAAATGTAAATCTTTCTGAGAACTTCTCGATGTCCGTAGTCTTAATTCTCTCCTCTGACCTCAGCAAGTCCCTGACCTCAGATGTAGGTGGCTTCTAGGGCCCTCTGAAAATGTACTCCACGAAGGAGAGTTCCATCTCCTCATTTATTCAGTAACCATTTCTTGCACTACTTCAGTGGGGTTGCATGTTATGCAGGCCTAGAATCTAAAGATAGCACAAAAAGCAAAGAGCTGGATTCATCAAAAATGACCTTTGAAAATTCCTATATCCCAGGAACTGTGGTAGGCAGGATCTGCATATATGCTGTATACAGAAACATCTAAGTATTCAAGTGTAATGAACACAGTGGTGAACAATGGATAATTTCACAGAGGGTCATACTTCGGACTTAAGTATTCTCACTGCCATGCACTGTTCAGTAGCTTTAGATTGCGGCCCCAAGCCTTTCTGTTGGCCATCGTTTTGACTCCAGTTCTTCCTTATTGTTTCTCTGCAGCCTCAGTGAGTCCTTCAGTTGAGGGGGTCAGAGTTGCCTTGGGCCATTGCTTGCCTGGCTGCCCCAAACCATGGCTTTCTCTGGTCAGCGGTCAGGAAAGCCTTCTTCATTCGCAGTAGTAAAATGCACTTCTCCTCTGGGAGCCTCTCCAGGCAGTAGAGGGGACCCAAGAAAGACTGGACAGCGGGCCCCATGACTTAGGGGGCCCACTAACACTGCACATCAGCTCTGTGCTGAGCACTTGTGGTCCATACTGTTAGTCCCAGCAACTGGCAGGCAGAGGCGTTCTGGGCTGCATTTTATCAATGAAGAATCTGGAGTTTGGGTAACTTACCTGAGTTCACTCTTGGGTCTTGATTTCTACTCTTAACCTCCAGTAATCTGGGGCCCTCAGTGATAGACTGCCCTTCCCAAGTCTTGTCTGAAGCTCTGGGTTTGTACGTTCCTGTTGACATAGAAGAGGGTAGAGAAGCTAGTGTTGGGTGCCGGGTGCTCTGCCTAGCACCTCCTGTGTTCACTAATGTCCTTTAATTACGGCAGCCCTGGGAAATGGGTATTACTCTGGTTCCCACTTTACAGCTGAGGGGGCTGAGGTCTGGATCCTTCTTGCTCCCCCCCCCTTCTCTAATCTGGCCTGTTTTTCATTCCTGGCTATGGTGTTTCCTCTGTGTACCCCAGCTTGGTTCTTTGCTCCTCCCCCCCCCCTTTTTTTTTTAAGATTTTATTTTTTTAAGTAACCTCTACATCTAACGCCCAACGTAGGGCTCGAACCCACAACCCTGACCGAGATCAAGAGTGGCACGCTCCACTGATTGAGCCAGCCAGGAGCCGCG